ACAAGGACTAAAACTCCCAGAGTTGAACACAAGAGTCTTCAGTTAGTGAATGTGACAGTTCCACCTCTGTGACTGGGTCCAGTGGGTCTCACAGTGTGTCATGATCTTTGTTGGTTCAACCTCCAACTCCACTTGTTAAATAAGGAGTATCCATTTTTTGACAATGGATTTAATGTTCTTAACCCAAAGTAATGTTATGACAAAAAATATTTATAAATATAGACTGAAAAAACAATCTTATTAGTCAGCTGGAGGTGTTACTAATAAGACAATGAACAAGAATCAATTGTGTGTTCTGCAGCTGACATTCATAGTGGTCTCATTACACACTCATAACTTGAGGTAAAATACTCATTTATTGTCATAGACCAAGTGTGCAAGATCCAGTTAAAATAGCAACATATTCAGATGACTGAAAATAAATTGTCTTCCACATTTTCCATTAAATCTGTAAACATCTTTAAGTGCATCAAATTGTTCAGATGATCAAAATTATGTTATATACATATTAAGAAATATATACAATCTTCCATATATATTTATTCATTGGCACATTCCCAGACTTGTGCAGTTCATTAAAATACAATTGGGAAATAAAAGCAATAATTTTTATCTAAGTATGTTCTTAAAGGAAGAAGTGGAGAGACAGAAGTGCATTTCTGCCCCTGAGAATGAACCAGGCAGGCAATAATTTAGTAAGAAAAGCTGATCTCATGAAAGTCAACAGTAACAGGACTGTTATTCCTTGAGAGTGAAATTTTCACTTGCACAGAGCAACAGGAGAAGGCTAATGCATTGTTTCAGTCTCATTTAGACTTTACCACACCTCCACTTCCTACTTTACTGAAACAGAATTTACAAGTGATCTTCACCCATCTGTGCAAGGGTAAGCTTTTTTCTAATCAGAATTCTATTATAAGAACAATTTGAGGAGACATTTATTTCTTTAAATGAACAGAAAATACAGCACTTTTTAATCAAGATAACATTAATTTTCTGGAAACAGACTTTGTCCCTGAGGTCCTAGTTTTTCCTTCACTAGTTACCTTATGCAGAACGCAGCATCTACCTGACTTTTTTTTCTCCTTTTTCTTAAAGTGTTTATGCCTGATATGCTGGTGCAAATACTTTTATTCAAGAAAAATAATAATTTTTTCAAAGATGCATAAATCTGTTCAGAGCTGATGCATTCTTCCTGACAATACTTTAAACTCACGCTATAACCATATCACCTGTCTTGATGGTACATTTATAATTTTTTTCTTCATACATGAATTGAGCGAAAATGGATTTTGAGTTTAAAGTGAAAAAGGGAGAAAATTAATTTAAGGCTTCTGATGTAGGTAGAAGTATATGTTACTACATGAAGAGTTTTCACCATGCAAGAGCTGCATTTAGTCATCTAAATTAATATAATTTTTGTGCATTTGATTGATTTCCATGAAAATTTAAATTTTATGGATTTGATTGACTTCCAGGTAAACTCAAATGGAATGCTTTGTGGCAATGCATGGTATAAAACTTATTTTAACCAGCATGAGTTATTGTCCATACATCAGGACTTAAGAAGTAGCAGTACCTGGCAAATTAATAGGTCCATTGGCTTTGCAGACACCATGCAGTGCAGGGTTCCATTCAGGAAATGCTGTGGTAGTAGAATCCACTCCTAATAATTTAGGGCTGTTCAGAAAATTTTCTATCATTTGTGAGGAGGGATCAGATTTTGGAACACTTCTTTCTTTCAACAGTGCATTACTGTGTTCCAGTACTGTATTCAGGTCGGGGGCTCCCAGCAAAAGAAAGAAATGGACCTGTTGGAGCAAGTCCAGAGGGGGCCACAAAAATGATCAGGGTGCTGGAGCACCTTTGCTACAAGGACAGGGTGAGAGAGCTGGGGTGGTTCAGCCTGGAGAAAAGAAGGCTCCAGGGAGACCCTAGAGCACCTTCCTGTACCTTAAGGGAGCTAATAAGAAAGATGCAGACAGACTTCACAGGGGCATGTAATGACAAGACAAGGGATAATGGCTTTAAACAGAAAGAGAGTGGGTTTAGATTAGATATTAGAAAGAAATTCTTAACTGTGAGGGTGGTGAGGCACTGGAACAGGTTGCCCAGAGAAAAGTTATGGATGCCCCATCCCTGGCAGTGTTCAAGGCCAGGTTGGATGGGGCTCTGAGCAACCTGGTCTAGTGGAAGGTGTCCCTGCCTATGACAGGAGGGTTGGAATTAGATGATTTTAGTGTCCCTTTCCAACCCAAACCACTCTATGATTCTTGATTCTATTCAGTTATGTGTGTAAGCTTCATTTAGGATCATTGAGGAGATACCAGTACAAGGATTCTTAAAGTGATCTTTAATTTTTAAAGAGCACAGATAATTTACAAAATGACTTCATAAAAATTTCAAGCCTTCTCCTCATGAGTAGGGAGAATGATAGCAGCTCACTTTTACGGCCAAACAAGTGGTTGCCACATTTATATTTATTTTATGGAGCTAAACCAATAATTTTTGGATTCTGTTCTGGGCTCTGTTCTGACTCATGCCAGCAAGTGATAAACCAAGGTCAATCAATTTACTTCTAACATTAATTCATCTCTAAGTCAGTCAACAATTTTTGACTTTCAAGTCAAAATATTGAGTACTCAAGGAAGTCAGCGAAAGCAGGATTGTCAGTGAATCAAACTTAAGGTCCTTTCCTACAACTTTCCCAGACTCTTGAAACTCCTCATTTACTCTGGGGGAAATTTCCCATGTAGACATGCATGTATATTAGTTTTTTGTTCAGTACCTTGGTGTGGAAATCATGAAGAAAGACAATACATATCAAAACTGTGTCAGACTTACAAAATTATGTTTCAGGTAGAACCTACATATTAATGATTGCTACTTTTAGCCACAATATTTTTATTATGTACCACCAGGTTATATTTGTCCCTTCTCTTTATTACTCCTATTCACAAATGTGTCAGCTTCTTATGAGGCTACTACTGTCCAAGTCCTAATGTACTGGACTTCTGGCTATCAGAAGAACATGAAAGCAGCTAAAAGAATAATCACATTTGTTCCTTTGCTGTACTTTACATAGGCTTTTGGAAAGCAAATAAAACATTTAAAATGCTGTGGTTATTTGATATTTTTCTATCAGTAGAGCAGCATAAGGGTGATGCTTAATACATCTTCTATGGTTCAGAAGCAGTATATTTGCTGTGCAAGTAAATATTACTACAGAAATATTTTTTTATAATAGCCAGGTCAGGAAACCCAAACTGGAAAGTCTTAGAAACCTGAATTCCTCATTTTACCATTTCAGTACCTGACATGGATTTACCAGAGACCTAGCTTCTCTCCCCTGAACAGCACTACTAAGAATGATGTGCATTTCAAGTCTAATGATAAAATAACTTCACATTGACTGTCTGTTTGCACACAGATCCCTAATCTGATTCAGAGATAATACAACCACATTGTGTAAATTACTCTGATGCTGTGGAGTATAACCCAGATGGTAATCTGATCTGCACAGTTACAATGTGTTACCTGAAAAAGAAAAAATCCAGTTTGAATTCAAGCTGAGTTTGAAAATAAAATGGAAAGTCATCCTTTTATTTTATGAACTGTGCAAATATGAACTGTAGGTACACTATTTATGAGATTAAGATCACCTGTCTTTGCCTGAAATGTGTCTACGTGAGCTGCCTGATCTCTGTTACAGTCAATGAAGGTACACTCAATGAGTTCCATTGATCAGCTCCCCTTACCAATAAAGATGTCTGTTTCAAGATAAAGTGAATAATTTCCTAGAACTCTATGGACTACAGTGGGAATTTAGATAATGGATCCGGGCAAACATCTACACTGAAGTCACCCCAAATTAGGCAAAATAAATCCCTGTCTAGCTATCCAAAATGAGGTGTTTGAACTAGTAATCAAAGTTCCTTCTAAAGTCAGTGAAAGGAGACCAGCACCTTCACAAAGGAGTTCATCCCATCCTTGGATGTGTGTTTATCATCACAGATGGAAGGAAACATATCTCCACTATTGGGAACCTTCAAGGTTGTCTTAGATTAGACACCAACAGAGGGTTTTGTTCAAGATTAAATGTAGATATGTGAACCATGTATCTCAGCTACCATTATAGCCAAAAGGACTGCTACTTTTGGTCTAGCATCTCTTGAGATGATCTAGGATGTCGTATGTAGTGGCTGGTTGCCAGTCCAGATGATCACAGGTCATATGTCATATTTTCCAGCCTATTGCAAATGTGTAAGGTGTGCTAAAGTGCCACAGAAAATTTGGTGTATATATTTAGGTAAATAAATTAAGTTCAATGAAAATTCAATCCTTTCTAAAAGATGAATATTGTGTGAAGTAAATCTGCAAGAAATCAACCATTTGTATTGTATTATCTACCATAAAATTGACCACAAAAGATGAGCAGAGTAAATGCACTGCATTCCCAATCTCAATGTATGTAAACATGAAAAACCCATGAGGGAAGTCTCTAATGTTAATATTTGCTTTTACACAAATATTATTCTTTTCAATTTACAGGTTTGTTTCAAAGATACCACTATTGTCATCAGTACATGCACAGAAATGCAGAGTCAGAAGGGAGGAAAATAGCACTCCACATCCTTGATGAGCTGCTGTACCCCTAGACAAGTACCTTCATTACACCTTCCAAGAAATGAATCCTGATACTCTATAAAGAATGCAAAACTCCCACTGAAGTAAAAAATACCTCATTCATGTGTCTGGAAGCAGGATTCAGCTCTGAGAACTAAAACAGCTTGCACCCACCTGCTGCTTTAGTTCTGAAACACATTTTCAATTGATATCTTGTATAAATCACAAATCGAGAGCTATGTGCTTTACCAAGAAGACAGTATTCCAGTCACAAAGTGTTATCCAGATGGAATCCCCTCCAAAAGTAAGCAGGAATGACCAGAACATTGCAACTATATTCTTGGTTTTCTCCATGTCAAACTCTTGCATTGACTATGACATAGTTACAAGGTATCAGTTTTCATTTGGTTATTGTTGTTTAGAGCAGGAGAAGGCTTGCTCTTCTGGCCATCTGTCCCTCCTTTGGATGTGTCCTGGAAGAAAAGCCTTGGCATCCACAGTGACATTAAAATTCGTTTGTATTCATTCCGAAAATTCTGGTTAAGAAGTCCGTATATAATTGCATTAAGGCAGCTGTTGAAATAGGCCATTAAGTAGCTTATAATGAATAACCATTCAGGAACTTTTGGTGCCATTTCTGTAGGATCAATGGCTACAGCCAGTCCAATGAAGTTAAGTGGTGCCCAGCAAAAGGCAAAAATCACAAAAACCACAAACATGGTAAGAAAGTTTCTGAAATCACTTGGCTTCAATCTTGGCTTTGTTTCTGACTTGACTCGTCTTCTGACTTGAAGCACTAAAACCCAAATTCGAAGGTAGCAGAAGCTCACAATGGTGATAGGGACAATGAAGTGAATTACCACAACAGCTATGGTATAGTAGGAGCTTGCAGTCTGGACAAACGTGCATGAATAGATGCGTGGATCATACTTTAAAGAGCCAACAAAAAAATTTGGCACAGTTGCAATTACTGTTAATATCCAGACTAAGGACACATACAGCATCGTGTTCCAACAGCTGTACACTTTGTCATAGGCAAAACTATGACATATATAGCAATATCGGTTTATTGCAATTGCAGTGATGTTGAAAATAGAGCCTATTACACTCAGTCCCATCACAAAGCCACTGGCTTTACAGTGCATTTCACCCAGCGTCCATCCATTGTGGAAAATAGCTAAGAGCACCAGTGGATATGGATACAAGGCCACCACCAGATCAGCCAAAGCTAGGCTCACCACAAATGCATTACCTGGGGGAAAAGAAAAATACATAGGCATAAGTATGAAAGCAAACATAGTTGTGAAAAAGAAGAGAATATGTTACATTATTTTGGATATCTGCAGTGCTAAATTATTGATGATGCTAGCAAGCAGTGGGTATATAGGATCAATAGGGAAATAATTTCACTATTCAACTTAGAACACCATGGAAATATCTGCAGCAACATGATGTTTCAAATCTGTTGCTGACTAGTTTGTATCCTCCTTGCTATTTTTATCTTTAGTAAACATAACCATCAGTGAGACATTACATAAGCATGTGTTGAATTGTTTCAGTGTAGCTAACTCCGCAGCTGGATTGAATAAGATGAAAAGGAAAAAAAGTCTAAATTGTGCCGGGTAGGCAAACCATTATGCCATTCTAACCTATCACTGGAATACTAACAGGCTTAACAAGTATCAAGGAGGACATAAAAGGACTAAGTCTATAGGGATTAGGAGGATGTGATGATTTATGTGTACTCTAAGTTGCTACACAGTAGCCTGTAGTATAGCTATTATCTGCATGAATGGCCTACCCATACAACAGTTATTTTCCCATTGGATTGACTGAGGAAGAGTTAATTGCCTTTACCACCCTATATGGAAAGGCATATTTAATTATACAAGTGAAAAATGCATGCATGCAAGGGAAAGTATTCAAATTCATGAAAGGAGTCTTTAGAACCTTTCCTGATGATGACATTCAAAGAAATCTTAGTGATATGGTTGAGCCATACTGTCTCTCTTTAAACAGTGTCCTTTTCATAAGTTTGAAATTTCTGGGCATTGCATCTGAAGATATTTTGATAAAATAATGAGATAGTAAACTATATTCCTGAAAAATTAAATGCAAAATCATTCTTTAAGAACTTTACCCTAGCAAATAGAGGTAATAACTTCAGATTCTTGGCATTTAGGTAGCATAAAATATATTTTTGGTTTGCATACTCATTTTTTTTTCTGAAAGTCCTTCACAGCATGAACAGATATGCAGAAGACCCAAGTAATTTTTAAAATTGTGCATGGAACATAATGATTTTTTGAAAAGAGCAGTTAGATGCTTACTTCTACAAACTCCAAGCTTACTAGTCCTCATCTAGCAAAGCAGTTCTCCATTTCATTTTAAGAATGTTGTTAAATGGAAGTCATAAAAGCAACAACCACGTAGGAATAAACTGATCAAAAAATGATGGAATTTCATGTCTACTCTGTTTGCTCCATCTGCTTTACATCTGCTTTACATTCCTGAATTAAGGAATGGGGAGCTCTCTGTCTCCCATATACTGTAGGGGACAACTATGATCATTAGAACTTGCACCAAAGTTAGTGAACTTAACGGAAAGCAGGATTATCCACCTGTACCTACAAAACATGACTCATCTCAAGAATGGTGTACAACATATTTTAGATGGTTCCTTGTTATGTATTTAGTATCCTGGTTTATATATTTTAGAAAGCTACACAAGTATTTTCATAGCTATAGTTTTATGATCTGTGAGAAAAGATTGAAAACTAGGGAGACAATTGAGCAGAACATCAAATCAACAAAGCAGGAAGGATATAACCTATTCCCATGATTGTTGTCAATATAAACAAGCTTCAGTCACAACAAGGAAGTTTCAAAGTAGGCACTGAGGAAAAGAATTTAATGGCAAGAAGAAGTAAGTGTGGGAACACCTCACTTTGAGTCTGCCAGTGAAGACTGTAAGAAAACGTTAAATAAGCATTTGTCAGTACTGGCCTACATAAAGCTGATCCCTGTTCTGAGTATAGGAAGAATGACATGACTGTGAAGGCCTCTTCTAGCCATATGGTAAATATGATAAAAGACTAACAAAAGCACAGGGGCATCTTTACAAAATGTATTTACATCATGGCAACAAGAATTTCTCTTACATTTTTTCACCACTTTATCTGACATTAGAAGATAGAGAAGAAGGAAGGGAGGGAGGGAGAAAAAATATTTTTTTTAATGTTTTAGAATGCCTTTTGTAGAAAAAAAGAATTTAGTCTGGGGTGTGTGCCAAGATTAATCTAAACTCTAAGGTCTTCCAGCATCAGCTTATATCTAAAACGTAGTTGTTCCATTGAAAAAGAGTGGGCATTTGGCTCTTTCAACCATATTTAGAAATTTACTGTAAAGTACATTTAGTGAGATATTTTCAAAATTTTGTGTGCAATTTAGGACTTCTTGAAAATTCCGTGTGAAATGAATAAATACAGTTAGCAATGAACTTGTCAAAACCATAATATACTAGTTTACAACTCAGAAGAAAAATGGTCAAATGTCTATAAAGGCCTCAGGTGATTTTTCACTTTTATGGCTGTTTACAGGGTTGAGTGTTCACACTGTGCACTGCAAAGTAAGATCCAATGATATTTTTCTGTCTTTGTGACTGACTGCAGAATTAAATTGAATGTTATATTACTGCAATGAATAGTCTATAAAAGTAGAGAGAAACTTTTCTAATTCATAAAACATAAGTAACACATTGAGAAATCAAAGGTCTTAGATTTCTTTTAGGTGCTTGGAGAAAGTAAATGCTCCTTGATACACCTAAGACACAACTTTTGGAGTGGCTTAAATTATATTCATAAGATAAAACTAAAGAGGTAACTTTTTGGTGCTTGTAACAAAATAGAAAGCACAGAATGTTCATCTACTTGGAATTATTATTGGTACTTCTGGAATTTACCCAATGGACTTTGTTCCTAGACTTCAGTTTCGTAAGAAAGAGAATTACATTCATTTATAAGAAACATTTGTTCACTGGAATGGAAAGACCCCTAATTATAAGCTGTAACTACTAAAAGCCAAATATCTTGCCAAGGATTCAAAAAGATACACATCTGTGCTGTTTTAAATATAGATAGTTGAGTGCATAAAAAAGAATGTAAGTTCTGATAGTGACTTTGGGTGCAACAGAACTAGATTGATATTTCATGAAGTGTTCTTGCATATTAGTTTTCTTACTTCAATTAACAGGAAAAAGAGAACTGTCACACCCTCCTGTAATATTGATATGACCTGATATTGTAGGAATTTACTCATAGAACAAACTTTTTGATAAGGTCAGAACTTTTAAGGGCTGAGCATCTGCCTTCTGAAAAGGCAGCTGACTTTTAATGTCTCTATCAAAACCAGTAGCAATTGCAATCACCAACCACCTTTGGAAGTTTTTCTTCTTTGTTTGGTTTTAAACTGGCTAAAATGATTCATTTTATATCATGGTGTTTTATTTTTTTATCAGGTGGTGTTTTGGTTGTTACTGATTTGTTTAACAAGTTGATATGCATTGCATACATATGTTACCCTCTTTGATCTGCTTCCCCTGGCTACAATCATGTTCATCCTGTGTATGTACTCTTCTGCATCCGTTATTCTTGCCTTTAACATACAAGTGCCTAGCTTCAAGACAGAAAAATTGTTTCTACACAGTCTACTGTGCAGACTGTTGCATTTTCTCTGCCCTTTCCTCTTCTACTGTCAGACTTGGGATGCTGTGTAGCAGCAAATGTAGGGAGTAGGGGCAGGTAAGGCAGAAAGGGTATGAATATGACTATAATGTATTGGCAGATTTTTTAAAATGCCAAGGATCAATGACTTAGCATAGTTATTTTATTCTTCCATTTCTATATCCTAGCCTTAAAGGAGAACTCAGAGTTGCTTTTACAGACTTTTTTTCTATGTTTTCAGAAGGAATGGGTTTATGGCTTAAAAGCCTGTCTGTTTTTACAGTCAGGACTGTTTATAATTAAGTAGCCTTTTGTATTGGCTGAGAATTATGAGAACATGAGTTTCTCTGTGATATCACTCTGAAAACTACCTGTAGGAATTTATCTTTACTAAAGGAAGCAGGGCAAAATCTTGACTTTAATGAAGTAAATAAGAGTCCTATCATTCTATAAAATTAAGCAAATAATTTCTGTGTAGAGTTCGCAGTAATAGACATCCTCAAAAAAAGTTAGACTGACAGACTCTTCTCTTACTTTGGATAAAATTAGGCACTTGAATTACATTTGGATGTAAAAGAACAGAAGTCAAAGTCTAGACCCCTTTCATAGTGCCTACAACTTTTACTTTCAGAAAGAGAAGTAGCAGTACATGAATCTCAAGGCTTGTTGGCCAGAATTCACTACAGCAGGTGGCTTGTTGGATCTATTGTTTGAGTCTAGACCAGCATAGAGAGTGAAGAGGCACATCTTACAGTTGGAAGAAAGTAATCAGTCCTTCAGTCAATGACTGCCCCTCTTTAATCTCCCCTTGTCTATAATTACTATGTAGTAATAGAAACTATTGTCTTGAACTTTCTTGTACAATGTCACCTTTTGAGAACCAGGCTTACATTTAATTTCCAGGCTCAAGAACCTCCTGAATCCTCATTAAAATGAGTCTCAAGGTTTGGACCAGATAAAACAAGAGCATACTCAACTATGAACAAATTGGTATAAAATTGGCTTTAGGTGTCTATGTCTCCAGTCCTGTTTGTATAAGAATACCCCTGAGATTGAAACCAAGGACGAATCTCCATTTAAGCAGCAGATTATTCTGAGTGCCATCCTGAGTGCAAACCTGAGTAAGGTACAAATTCAGAATTCAGGATTTTGGCAAAACAGATGATAACTCTGATGGAACTGTGTAGTAGGTCCCACTCCTGGAGCTTTTGATTGTATATATCCATGTCCATAGTTATTCAGCTGATTATCTTTCTCAAAATTTGAGTTAGTTTTGGCATATTTTATGGAAGAATTACATAACAAATTAGAAGATTGTGTTTTCAGAGCCAGGACTTCCACTAACCTTTCAGATATGGCTTTTAAGTGGGAGTCCTGGCCACCTTATTGCTGATTCTTGATGCTGCCAGTGATACCTGCATTTCTGACCTATCATATTTTCTACTGGCCCTCAATTCATATGATTCTTGAAGCTCGCTTCAGGCTTGTTTATGGGGGTTGTTCTTAAGTCTTGCTCTTCAATATTGAAGGGAAATGTTGACTCTGGAGGGACTGAAGAATTGGTACCAAGTAGGCAGGCAGAACCAAGGCCTGGGTAGGTTTTTGTTACTCTTTTGAAAGTGGCTCAGCTAATACAGCTTAATGGCTTAAATGGCATGTAGAGAGACATAAGCTGCTCCTGCAGAAAAGCTGATGCTTCGTACTTTCTACTAATTTTTGTCTTGAATTTTGACTTCTTTGATTAGTATTCTTTTACAGTATTTAAGCTCTTGTAGATCTTGATTTTTTTAAAAATAGGTAATTTTTAAATCTCTTTAAAATCTCCTGTGTCAACTTTTTTATCTCCTCACAATCCATCAGAAAAAAATAGAACCTGCTACACTAATTCAGATGAAACTCCATTCATATCAGCAGGAACGAAAGAACCGGCAATGGACACCGGTAGCAGGTGGAGCAGAGAATTAAGTCTTTCACACACTGACATTCGAATTCCCTGTGACATTACAAGCCAAGACCTAGGGTAATCTTTGATTTACTGAGACATGTTAATCTGGTATGATGTTCAACAGTGTGTTGCTAGCAGAAGGTTTAACATAATGCTCCAAAGAAGTGCCAGATGAGTTTTTGCTTTCTTTGAATATGACAGTTTAAAAGCAGTGATATGCTCTTTTGTAGTTATGTTTCATGACTTCAGCTATTAGCGGGATATACTGCAGACTTTGATGTAAAGGAGAGGCAATATATTTTCACTAGAACAGCGTATTTTAGAGACTCTAGCAAAAATATAAACAATGAATCAAAGCTGATCTTTGATTTATGAAACACTCAGGTTATTTCTTCTTTTAGGAAATGTGTGTTCTATGAAACTGTTTAGAATAATTGGTGAATATAATTTTCCTGTGATATGTCCAAAGCAAAAGTCATCACTAGAAGTAGAATTATGAAATCATTCAAGTTGAAAAGTACCTTTTAAGATCATCAAGTCCAGCTGTTAACCCAGCACTGCCAAGTCCACCACTAAACCATATACCACATCTGCGTCTCTTTTAAATATGTCCAGGGATGGTGATTCCGCCATTTCCCTGGGCAACCTGTTCCAGTGCTTGACAATCCTTTCAATGAAGAAACTTTTCCTAATATCCAATCTAAACCTCCCCTAGTGCAACTTGAGACCATTTCCTCTTGTCCATTCACTTGTCACTTGGGAGAAGAGACTGAGCCCCACCTGGCTACAGCCTCCTCTCAGGTAGTTGTGGAGAGTGATGAGGTGACCCCTGAGCCTCCTCTTCTCCAGGCTAAACAACCCCAGCTCCCTCAGCTGCTCCTCATCAGACTTGTGGGCCAGATCCTTCCCCAGTGCCATTACCCTTCTCTGGACACACTCCAGCACCTCCATGTCTTTCTTGGAGTGAGGGACCCAAAACTGAACACGGGATTCACCAGTGCCCAGTACAGAGGGATGATCCTGCTGGCCACACTATTGCTGATACAGGCCAAGATGCCATTGGCCTTCTTGGCCACCTGGGCACACTGCTAGCTCATGTTCTGCTGTTGACCAACACCCCAAGTTCTTTTCTGCTGGGCAGTTTTCCAGCCACTCTGCTCCAAGGCTGTAGAGCTACCTAGGCTTGTTGTGACTTAAGTGCAGGACCTACCACTTGGCCTTGTTGAACCTCATACAATTGACCTCGGTCCATTGATCTGGCCTCTGCAGATCCCTCTGCAAAGTCTTCCTGCCCTCCAGCAGATCAACACTCCCGCCCAACTTGGTGTTGTCTGCAAACTGACTGTGGGTGCACTCGATCCCCTTGTCCAGATCATTGATAAATGACCCCAAGAAGAATGCAGGACTCCCAAGAACAGAAGCGTAGCATGCAAAAAGGACCTTGAGATTTTGGCTTTGTGACTTGCAGACTCCTGGGCTGGGATAGACCTGTGTTCTTGGCCCTACATCTGCAACTACCAGTTAGTACTGGAAGCTACATTTGCAGGAAATGAATTTTTAGCTTATAAGGCAGAGCTCTCAGGTGTCAATACAGTCTTGCTGAAGAGAAGTACACAGGTTGCAATGTTGTTTGATGTGTTTTTGAGATCATGATTTTGGCATGCTTGGCATCCAGGTATAAACACAGCCCAAAACAAAGCCTCTGCTTTTTCTGTGTGCTCACTCTTCTCCCTCAGGTTAAATATGGGAGGACCAGTCCTTGCTGTGAGTTTGCTGCCTTGAGTTTGCTAATAGACCACAGGTGCAGAAGTGTTGTGCTGTTAAAAACTTAGTATAAAGGCTTGAGGTTTCTAATTCCTAGGTGTGTAATTTTCCTCTCCTGTGGCTCCCTCTGGTGTGAATGGGGACAGTGGTGATTCTCTGTTGCCACCTGGTGCATGAGACACAGCAGAAACATGGGCAGGAAGCAAAAGAAAGTGGTGGGTTCTTCTGGAGCAAAATGCTGATCGTTAATCAGATAGTACATTTTACAGGGTGATAAATACTTTTATGGGCTTCTGATACTTTCTGAGATTGCAGGAACTTTCCTGGTACTGGATGTTCTCAGAGATAGAAGGGGAAGCAGAAAAGGCAAGACAGATTCAACTACTAGAGAATTCAGTTGCCTAGTAGTTAGGACACTTCCATGGTAGAAGAGCCTTTTTTTGAAAAAGAACTTGAGTTTATGTCTCCCATAGTCCACTTCCCCATAGACAGTGCCCTACTCACCAGCCCTGCTGCTCTTCTGGGGTTATTGTGCTTGTCTCTTTCTAGGTTATGTTCAAGAATTTCAGTTTATAATCAGAATACAGGCCTTATCACTTGTATTGTAGAGTGCTCTTCATCAGTATGCAAAAAAAAAAATTAAAATTGAAAATCCTTCTCATGATTTAACAGGTGAGAAACTAAGATAGGGGGACTCTCCCAAGACCCATTAAAAGAACACTCCAGGTTTATGAACTTTGCTCTTGCTCTTCTTTAATAGATAATACCACCTCTGTTAGGTACACTCTGAAAAAAATGACAGCACCAGTACAGCATGCTGCTCCAAAATGACACCACAGTGATATACTGGTACTGAGGGATGGAGCCAATAGAAGAGCTAGAGCTATTAAGCAAAGCTAGTTGAATTCAAAGCAAATAAAAGGGGGTGGTTGCAGCAATAGATAATAAATCCTTAACAGATTTTGCAGTTGTAAAAATTTTACCTGTATTCAAGAGAAGGTTGGAAAAGTAAGAAACACCAGTTGAAGGTTACTCAACAGACATAGCATGGTAAGTTCAGGGAACCCTTTGAGCTGGAAGGAATCACAAGTGGCAAGAATACAGAAGTATCGCACAGAGTTGCTCTGTTCACTGTTTTTCCTCAGTGGCTGCTTACATCTACAGTTAAAGACAGAGCATGAGGCTAGCTATGCCCTTGGTCTGCACCAATACAGCTGTTTCTGTGATGGGGACAATAGGTTTTAGTGACACCATGCAGAAGCACAGCTCTTTCTCAGGCTCCTCTGTTGTGGTGGTCTGAGTGCTATGATGTGACATTGCAATTCAGAACCTTGCCAGCCACTCTACACAACTAGCCTGGTTTGGTTGACTAAATGTTTGAAGGAGCAATACCCTTGTTCTGTCTGTCCAGCCACTTGCAACTGAGCTGCATTTTGCAGCAGGTTCAGGGCTGAAGATCCCTTATACCCATGCCCTAACACTGAAGTCAGGCTCTTTACCTTCAGGGTAGTCTAGGATGGCAAAAACCATGTTGTTGCTGAGAGAATCATAGAATGGTTTGGGTTGGAAAGGATCTTAAAAATCATCTAGTTATAACCCCCTGCCATGAGCAGGGACACCTTCCACCAGACCAGGTTGCTCAAAGCCCCATCCAACCTGGCCTTGAACACTGCCAGGGATGGGGCATCCATAACTTTCTCTGGGCAACCTGTGCCAGTGCCTCATCACGTTAAACAGTAAAGAATTTCTTACTAGTATCTAATCTAAGTCTACCCTCTTTAGTTTAAAATCTACCCTCTTTCAGTTTAAATGTCTCTATCTAGGGTAATCTTGCTTTTCATGCAGGGAGTGAAGCTAAGACCTTTACCTAGAGTGCTTAGCGCTATGGGCACCAGTGGCAGCTCAGCTTCAAAACCTCCAGTTGCTGAGCACAAATACTAAATAACAACAAAAGCAGACTGTTTTTTCACTGGCCTATGAAAGAAATAGTGTTTCCTGTATCTGCCACTATGTAAAGCCTAATTTTCTTCTCTTGAAGTAATCACAGCTGTTGATTGCTTCAACCAAGAAAGAATAGGAAACCTACATGTACAACTGCAAGTATGAAAACTCATTTACTGCTGACAAAAGGGCTAATATGAAAAGCTGTAAAATACAACAGGTGCAATCTAGTTAGATACTATAAAGAGCTAGGCAACCTATAATTTTTAATAACTTTTTTTCACTCTCAATACTCTATGGCATGTCATAGAAGAAAGAAGTGAAATATGTTGCATTTTGTAGGATGCTATTTTGTCAAAAAACAGACAAAAAACCTGCCCTAAAGCTTGTTTCAGATCAACTTTAAAAGACTGAAGTGTGGAAGCAAACAAAATAAGGATATTTGACTCCTAAAAACTCTGTAGAAAATTTTTATGCCCTGGCAGATATTAATTTATATTGTATGAAAGGCTAGTTCATCTTCTATGACCTTCAATATTACCTTCTATTACCTTCATCTTTGCTACTGTCTTTAGCTTGAATTTGTGTCAAAAGAAATGATGTTGGTTTCTTCCTTTGTTACGGCAACAAAACAGTGCTCAAGTCCTTAGAATAACTTAACTTCCACCTTTTTTTAGAAAGGAGGACAGGAAATTGAAAAATGAAAATAATTCTGTTCAAACTAAAACCATGTTTTGTTTTGTTAAACTGTTTGATTTGTGTTTAGTTTTATTTTAATATTTACTAGCAGATTAGTTGAATTAAAAAAAACCAACAAAACAAACAACTGCTCTCAGACATTAAATAGTTTGATTTTAAAATATAAGGCTAAGATATTATGGAAGATGTTTTAAGTTATCAGACAGGTATATGAAGTGAATAAAGTTGGGACTGTTGCAGACTATGGGACATACTCAGCCAAGAGGTTTGGTTATCTGTGATAAGGTGCATCTTGTAGCTTTGCCCTGTAGACCCATTTAAACAGAACAGAACTTTCTGATTTATATAAATGTTGGGATCTCCTCTTGCAGAAACAAAGACATGCAAGTGGTAATTTCCACAGTGATTTGCTCAACTACTCTGTGGGGCTTCAGATGAAGGACTCGCAGCATGTGACAGCTACAGAGTCAGAAACAAATACATGCAAAGTATGTACATGTCGACTGGTTACATCTGCGAAAAGAAATCAAATTTAAGCCCAGTATTGCTGCTATGTACTTTTAGGTGTTCCTATGTTCAACTCCAAGACACAGTAGGGGATACTGGATTTTTATAAAATGGGATCTGATACACTGCAGTAAATAGAGTATATGGGAAAATCTAATATGGAAAATACTTATGTTGGCAAGTTGCAAATGCTTCTAACACCCTCTGGAGCCCCTTCATTATGACCTTCTTTTCCTTTCTTTTGTTTCCTGTTTCACCTTCCTTTCACCAAGGAAGAAAATAGATGATACTTGATGAAAATGGCCTTTATAATCTTCCAGTGAGGAAAAGTGTTACCTCTTTTGTTCTGAGCTTTTGGAAGGCCTCATCATTGTATATGCATAGGGAGATGAATGTCTGGAGAAGCTGTTGTCAGTCTGTGCCATCTGCTTCTTTTGGAAACAAGGTCTTAAAGCAAAGTACACTGACATGATTCATCTTATAATGATACTCACAGATTTGTAAACAGCATGTGAACATATGAATAAATAAAATGCTTTTGGAGAAAATCATTGTGTATTCTCTTCTGAAGTATTAGCTGGTTTGTGTTTCAACTCAATACAGACAAAGCGTGTAATGATCATTTGCTGAATCAAGATCTTTTCTGAGAGCCAGTAGAAACCTTGCAAAATGTGTAGATCAAAGCTCTGCTCTGGCTGGGCTGTGAGTCATGACATTGGTGAGAGGTAAATGAGGGGTGACAGCTAGGCATAGGCATTCAACCAATATAGCCATAGGGTCATGGAAGTTGGAATTGATCTCTGGAGATCATCTAGTCCAACCCTCCCATTCATAGAGGGATCAGCTACAGTGAGTTGTTCATGGCCATGTGCAGTTGGGTTTTGACTATCTGCAGCCATGGAGACTCCATAACGTCTCAGGGTGACCTGTTCTAGTAAGCAACAAGTATACAGGATATTCACTCTTTTCACTAGGGAACAGAGGGAAGATGCTATTGATTTGGCAACAGATGAGGGCTCTACTTGGTCTACTAAATAGCAGAAGGTATGTAAGGTCATACCTGTTACTATGCATGTAAAGACAAGACATGCTCATTAACAGCAAGATGGAGTTGCTTGGTCAGGAGAGATCCCAGTGCAGATTACAGCATGCAGGGCTTTGTTTTGTTTGTCCTGGTGTCTTCTGATTCCTTGTGACAGCAGAATCTGAACAGTCTCTGGACATAATGGTCTGAACCAAACAGAGAATCTGGACTAACAAACATTTACAGACCGCTAAATCTACAGACCAGGAAAGGTACAGACTTCGAGGGGTGGAGGGTGGAGTGTGGTGAGGGCTGCACAGAAAGAGGCAGGAGACACCAGCTCCTAGCAAAAACACTTTTGGAAAGCAATTCCCACTGGCTTTAACACAGCTAGAATTTTCCTCCTTACCTACTCACACACTAGGTTCAGTTTACCAAGGTTGCAGGATCCTGTTGCACGTGCTACTTTGATGATCTTTGAGCACTGTGAGCTGCAGCTAGCCATTCAGACTAATCCCTTGTCCTAGGAGTCCTAGGTGTTATTCCCATGAGTGACCTGGTGGCCTGTGATCCAGAAGGAGCAGTGGGTGACTTCTGTCTGCGTAATGTACTGAGTCACACCTCTTTTACTGTGTGAATACACCTGCAAACTGGATCAAGTCAATATAATTTTTACTAAATCAGGCTCAAATGGAAATCACTTTCTTATATGCTACATGAGAATGTTGTGTTTGAAGGTCATGTACTTCAATATTTCGTTTGCTCTCCATAAGCAGAACAGATATTCTTGCTTCATATTGAACCAGGAAGCTGACTGTTCAGCAAGTTTTACAGTCTTTATGGTCCTAGCCTACCAGGTGTTTAATAAGTGTGACTAAAGAGGATTACATTGTTTTCAGATTATCTAAAGGCATAATTACAGGACCTCAAATTAGTTAATTTTTCCTCTACTTTGAAACAACAGATGTCCAGCACTGAAATTGGACTCTGAATTGTGTAGTTGATGTTTCATACCCAGGACCATAATCCCAGGTAAAATCTTTTAAACTTTTTTAACCCACTTACCAGTAGATAATTTTTTCTAGGCAAATCACTATGGTTAAACCATCTTTTAACAAGACCTGTTTCAACGTCTGATTAACATTTTACAAATTTTACTTCTTAGGACTTCAAAAGCAAGCATAAAAAATAAAGGAAAATCTTGATAACATGAAAACTTATGCAGAAAACAATCTGTTGTCCATGGGCTGTAACCTCATCTGT